CGGTGACCTCATCCAAACCTACCGAATTGTTAGAGGCCGTGAGTGCAGCCTAGAATTTGACGAAATCTTCGAATTGGCTCGGACGGATCATCTGCGTGGTCATCCATTTAAACTAAAGAGGAAACGGGCCCATATGGACGTTCGACGGAACGCCTTTCCACAGAGGGCTATCGGAGCGTGGAACGGACTCCCTGACGAGGTGGTCCTCTCAGATAATGTTGAAATTTTCAAACACAAACTTGATTCTCATTTGCTGAGAAACTGTGACAGATATAATGAACGAAGTGTCAGAAGCAACACCTGGCAACTGGCTCACACTTATTGCTGATGTTATGCCTAAATTTGTATTATGTACTACTGTAACGGTTAAACTCTTTTGCAATTTTTGGATATGAATAGGAAGCTCAAGGGTGAAAGTCTTTTTCACTTAACAAATTGACTAAAAGTGACTTGACTTAAAGTGACTTAAGGGAATAAAAGTGTAACCGTAAACTATTCCATCAACGACTTTGTGAACTTGCTAATCTAGATGCGTTCAAGCTTCGTAGATTACAGGAAGGAGTATGGAGAAATATAGAACATACTCTGGAAGACAGGATTCGTAGTCAAATAAATTTATTATTAACTTTTGCGGGGGAAATGGAAAGGCGTCATATTTTACACCAACAGGGAATCACACCGATCCCACCGTAGATCAAAGTGAAAGTAACCAAACTTCGCCGGATACAACTCGAGGCTTTATCGTTTTATATCCATTCGATTTCAACTGTCAGATAGGATTTTGCCTTTGACATTGGTTCAGTCCTTAAGAATTTGCTAACTTGATCCTCACGATTTGTAGGTCATATCATCGATATAACCGAGACATAACAACCAATAGATTACTAGGCTTTGCAACGATTGCGGTTGAATTTACGGTTGGTGGTTAGTCAGTTGTACAAAAAGTTTGGGATTATGCTACAAATACGCCAATATTTTCCAAGTCTTTCTCACTTTATTTCATGTTTCTCGTCTTTAATCGACACCACCTGTATGTTTGTGGTCGTTTTGAATTACTTGCGATGCTCGTTATTTAACAGCTTGGGCGTGTCATCCGAAAAAAATATAGTATTTGCTTCCCTGCTTATTCTCCATTTATACCGCTTGCGTTAAAAATACATCATCTTAATTAATTTTTTAAAGTGACCCGGTTAAGCGTTGTGTTTGTTTCAGAGTAAATACAAGTTCACCCGGAA